ACAATTATTCGCAGACTGAGTGCGAATAAAGTCAGGTATCCCCCTGGAAGAACTTCCAGGACTTCCGTATATCACTATAACTGTAAACTGAGTGGAAGAAATGCACAAAACAACCGATAGGGCTTCAACAGTCTGACCTGACGACTGGAATGTGCGGGTCCTCAACACATCTAAGTTACAGCTCACATACAGTACAACGCCTCCGCCTTGGCGACCAACGGAGCGATCAGTTCTAAGCAGCGCGTAGCCAGGTAAACATACCTCACCGTCCATGATATCCGGAAACAACCACGTTTCAGTGAAAGCAAGTATGACGGGATGAGATTTGTCTACAAGTAAACCCAACTCGTGCACCTTGTTCCTTAGGCTACGCACGTTGCTAAGTACTACCTCAAGGAAGTCGGCATGACCATCCCTGGATCGTGCGCCATCAGGATGGGTTCTGATAGGGCGGAAGATAACTTCCGGCTATCCACCTGAAAACCCACCAGACGGAGGCCTTGCTCACCAACCGCCCGTCCAGTTTTGAGGTCTTTGACAGCCTCCTTTAACTTCAATCTATCTGTCAGTGGTAGGTCCGGCTGAACGCTTACACCACTACCCTTAAATTTGAATGCAAATCGCAGTAATGATTTGCGTTCCTCCGGGGTAGAAAGCACCACGCGAAGTAGTCGGGGTCCCGGATTTGGCGTAGCGATAGGGATATTCCCCAATCTGGTCAGCTTTCTGACAGTGACACCAGGGAAGCCAGGTGGAAGCAGCTTGCTGACACAGTTGCAGCCACTTGATGTCATCCACGATGCGTTCCCTTGGGAGAGCAGCCGCAGATTCAGTAACGGTAAGGAATATAATGCTACTATCAGTGAAAGAGTCGGCACGACGGGGAGTGTTTACATCACGTGCCTTGGACTCGACACTCATACCAGCTGTTTTCATAACTGGCAATTGGACTGTCACTGTCTCCGCAAACGACATCGAAGCAACAGTAGCGTTGTTTCTCCACTCTATTGCCGGCGTCTTACTAGTTCATAGGTCTTCAAGCCCCTTCGAAGTTTAACGGGCAGATCTAGTCCCCTTCTTCTTTTGGCTCACGGGAGCAGGGGGGTTGACCTCGTGTCGCATTGAGCAGTTTTCATACTTCGTCAGAACGGGTTGACTCAGTGGCAGCCGAGACGGCTAGTGTCTTCGGAATGTTTTACTGCACACTAGCGTCAGATGACTTTTCAAAGACGGCACCGTTCTCGATACATTGACAACTTATTCTCTGGGTTTAGTAGGGGGCTTCTGGTACTTCCGCACAGGTCAGGTCAGGTCAGATGGACAATAGAGGCTTCCGCCTAACGAGCGTCCAGTTCTTGTGCCGGTAAGTGAATCGGCCCCCAGCACTTCGACGTTGGATTGTTTCTTGCTTCTGCAATGGAATGATGCAAGAACAAGAGCAGTCTCTGCACTTTCATATGCCAGCATCAAGATACACTACATATACCAGTACAACTACAATAGCTCTGGAAAAAAGGGTGGACCAACAATTGTCTAAGCCCCTTTTGAAGGCTGCTACGGTCTCAGACTCCACTAAATCAGAAGGAAGTTTATTCCAGTAGTTAACTACTCGGTTCGTAAAAAACTTTGCCCTGATGTCCAAACGAGCTCTGTGATGTTTGAGCTTCAGGTGATGCCCGCGCAGATGGTCTGACGTAGCCAACTCAAACAGATGGGTGGAACTAATACCACTAAGTCCCTTAATGATCTTAAACGTCTCTATCAAATCCCCTCTCAACCTACGCCGCTCCAAGGAAAATAATCCTAAGCTACTTAGACGATCTTCGTAAGACTTCCCTCGTTGACCTTCAATCATCCTGGTCGCAAGTTTCTGAATCTTTTCTATACATATGATGTCACTCCGGAGGTACGGTGACCAGGCCTGAACACAATACTCCAGATGTGGCCTGACCACTGCTTTATATAAGGGCAAGAATACTTCTGCTTTAGTGTTACTCAGCGCCCTCCTAAGACGAAATAACTCGTGTCGTGCTTTATTGGCAGCATGGCGACACTGTGCCGAAGGCTTAAAATTGTTCGCTACGATGACACCTAGATCACGGGCTTCGTCAGTACATCGCAATGATAGAGATCCCACAGAAGACTGAACTGCAATTCCGCTACCACTACTAGTCAATAGTTGACATTTGTTGGCATTTAGAGGTAGGTCCCATTGGCTTGACCAATTCGCCACAGTGATGATGTCCTTAGCCAATGTCGATCGGTTTCCCCTACTGACTAGCTTCAAGTCATCTGCGAAGATGTAGCAGGGATCCTCAAGAAGAGGAGCCAGGTCATTTATAAACATAAGAAACAGCAATGGACCCAGAACCGAACCTTGGGGGACACCACTGTAGGCATGGCCAACACTAGAACTCGCTTCCCCAACCCTGACTCTGAATGTCCTTCCACGTAAGAATTCAGAGAGCCATAGTAATAGTTGAGGATGTAATCCAAACCATGTCAGCTTCTCAATTAAAAGTCGATGATTCACGGAGTCAAAGGCTTTACTGAAGTCCAAATAGCACACCTCTACCGATATCCCACTATCAAGACAACGGGTAATCTCGTCTAAAAAGCACAGTAAATTGGTAAGACAGAACTTCTTTTTGAGAAAGCCATGCTGTTCCGCGCGAATTAGATTGTGCTCAGTCAAGTGCTCACAGATCCTGTTCCTTATAAGCTTTTCCAAGCATTTCAGCATGATGCTGGTCAAACTAACAGGTCTATAGAACTTAGAACCCCCTTGTGGATGGCAACAATAGTCGCCTCCTTCCAATCACGTGGCAGCTTGCCTTCTTGAAGAGACTGGTTGAATAACTCCGCTACGGGATACTGAAGGACATCAGCCAGCGGCTTACCTATGGCGGGATGTACGCTATCAGGACCGGCTGATTTATAAGGGTTCAAACTAGCCAGCACTGTGAAGACCTCTGGCACACTGAGAATAATTTCCCGCATTGTGTAGCCAGTTGAGCAGTGCGGCTGTGATGGCAAGGCTGACCCACTATCCTTCCGATGCAGGCTTTGGCAGACACGTAGCAGCACTTCTACTTGATCGACGTCGTCTACAGCCTGGGTACCGTCCTCCATGGTTAGACAGCCGACGACCTCTCTTAAAGAAGCCTTTGACTGAACATAACTGTAATAACACTTGGGATTAGTTTTCGCGAATTTGGCCAACCTAAGCTCATATGAGTACTTCGCTTGCCGCTGTAACTTAATAGCCATGTTTCGACACCTTTTGTACTGCAGCCAGCGTCGAAAGCCCCGAGTTTCTTGATATTCTCTCCACTCAGCATTGTGCCTCTTTATCGCTCTCTCAATTTTTCTTCTCCACCATCGGGGTTTCCCAAGATGTCTCCTGGGGCGAATAGGAGCAAATTCATTCAGCAACTGTACAAGTCCACTTTTAAGTAGAAGCCACCTCTGTTCCAAAGTGGCCTTGTCCTGCTCAGGAACCCAAGTGATCTGAAGGGCTCGATCCCGGAGCTTCGTAATATCAATACGGTTTAAATCTCTTCCTCCTCGACGGTTCTCTGCAAGCCTCGATGTGTCCAGACAAACGTTCATAACACGAGGGTCACTCTTACCTATGTTTGGCTCCAAGTGTAGTACAATCAAGTGACCACGTCTGGCGATCACAGCTGAAAAGAAAGTGAACGCTGGATGATACCAATTTGTACTGGTCTGTTTGTACGCCGGTACAGCTTTCGTGATACCATCGGCAGCAGACGTCACACTGCTTACCGCCGGATATATCAGTTACTTGCTCCGAACAGTTAACCTGTCCGCAAGCTGCAGGAGACTCATCAAGCCAGGACCCCATAAGTCCATCCGCCTCGGTGTTTAGCGATAGTCATGTGCATGTGAAAACCAAATGAAATTACAACACGTATACAATAGTAAAGCGACCGCAATAAAAAGGCAAAAACAGGGTGCAAAACGGGATTATAACCGGGAACAACCGGAAAAATAACCAGTAAGCTCCAAGAACGCTTTGGCTAGTACCACTTTAATCGATCCAAGATATCTTGGATCAGAGAAAATTTGACAATAGTCAAATTTCGTTTCAAGTGTTTATTCAAACACTGTTCTCTATGTTATTTTAGCTAAAATGCTTGATCAGAATGG